AAGAGACTGAAGTATCTGATGCTTGAATAGAAAAGAAGCAAACTTCCATCTAGCTGTTTTGGTGAGCAGTATCTGTTTTTAAAAGCCTATTTTTTTTCAAGCCACAAGAAGATGAGAGACAAATTAATGAGTTGATTCCTGGTACTTTTTTCATTGGGAGCATCTGATTCATTGTACAACTAGCAATGTTTCATTGAGCACCACAAAATACATTTCTGAAGGCAAAGGAGGGCAGTATCTACTGTCAAAGATGTAATTTCAAGTACCACCTGTTCCAGCTACATGCACTAGAAATGCTTCCTTGGCATTCTGCAAGAGGACTTTTGTCTTTCACTAATCATCCTCGTGTGATTTAGAGCAGGATTTCTCCTTTTCTTCTATTTTGAATAACTTGTTTGCCATACAGTAGTATACTTACTTGCCTTGCTTCCTTCTTGGTAAGTTGGAAATGTAGCCCTTCAGTGAATTTTTAATATTGAGAGACCTCGAAGCCCAATGTTACCTAAAAGTGCTCTGACAACAACCAGAAGTTATGCACGTCAGCCACTTTATTGTATCCAGTTATAGCTCGTGCACAACTTCACACTGCTATTTGAAAATTGATTTTACGCTGTTCCTGTCTGTTCAACTTGACATTTAATAAGTCAGTGCACCTCCTTCTTTGTACAAAAAAATCTTGGACCTGGTGTAAAGTTACAGATTTGCAGAGAGAAGGCCACACTCTTTTTCTAATTACAGATATATTTATTTTTACTAATTTCATGTCCACATCCTTCTGAGAATATCATTACATTTAAACTATAGTTTTATGTGAATAATACTTAAAGAGAATGCGCTACCATAAAACAGCAAAGAAAGAGTTGTGATGATACATGACTTCTGATCCTTTATATTTCAACCATAACAACATCAACAAGACTGAAATTATCAGATCATCATAACCTCAGCACGGATGGTTTGCTTTCCAGGTATCTGTATTAAAGAGCTGCCTGCAATTTGCTTTTGACACAAAATAACATAATCCTATAAACACATGCAAGTGTAATGTCACCCATGCACCTTCCAGGTATATGGCAACTGAAGTCAATGGCAATAAATCACAGCAGAAAATTTATTAGTATACATTTTTATAGGATGAGGATTTATGCCTGACTCATACAAAATTATAAAGTTCAGAGAGGCAACTCCCAAGGAAAATGTGAAGGATCTTAAATAATATAAATATGAGTAATAATAAATATATTATAAGATACAGCAGACTTTCCCTGGGGCTTTCATTAATTTACAAACTCTTACAAAATTAATGGCCTTCCATAAATGAAGACACCAACAATCTAAGAAATATAGTCTTTCTTGCATATGTAATGCCCAAATTTTACTCCCTGTCTTAACTTGACCTAACACATATAAGGACCAAACCACAAATTTATTACAGATTATCAACTGTAAATCGATAGAAACTAATCTGCAACCCTCCCAATTTTTAGGTTTGTCATTTACAATTAACAAGACTACTGCAGATACTGTTACATGGAAGGTAACAGGAAAGAAAAAAATCAGGATTTCAAAAAAGACTGTTTGCTCACTTTTCAAAACAAAAATAAGGACTACTCTTCCAGTTTCTTCTAGACCATACTATCCATGTCCTTTAAATAAAAACACAGTTTGCAAAAACAGCTTATCTAGGCATTGGTGAGTATACTCTGTATATAACTAGAGAGAAAAATTACATTATCTTTTAGGCTGCTGTTGAATTTTGTCAAAATATCTGCTGAATCAGAAAAATACTACTTTCTCCCCCCCACACTCACTCCAAACTACTAGTAACAGCTAATAACCCTTTTCTAATACCTTTCAAAGGTATCAGGGATTTTGTTTCCTAGTAACCTCAGGCAAAACAAATGAGTGAAGATCTAGTGTAATGGGCTTTTGTCCAGAATTGCACTTTAATGCAGAAATACATGGGTTTTGCAGCTGTTGGCTCTTAGTTCTTCTTTTCAGCTTCAACAGATCTAAACTTTGTTTCACATTAAAATTGCCATGACTGAGGACATTGTTATCTACTTCTGCTAGGTACAGCAAAGCTGGATGTGTTTTTCTCTTTAGAAGCTTAAATCCTGTCTGTGTTTATATTCTTGATACTTGCAAGGGACAAAAAAATACAGTAATAAAACAACAGAAGAAACCAAAACCATTCCAAGATTCCAAGGATTCTATGCTTGTAAGTGTATTCAATAAAGTTTATTTAGATCCTGTATTGCCCCAGCATTCATCCACATGAAGAGGCCTGAGCTGGTGGAATTCTTACAAACAACTGGAAGCAAAAAGCACAAAGTCCAGCAGCCAATCACCCACAGTATAACCCACTCACTTGTTAGACTTCAAAATCACTCTTGAGTACCAGTAATAAACTATACACTCTATGTAATGCTATGCAATGTAGTCTACATTCCTCGTTAGCTCTATACTTAATTACTATTATTCAATTACAGACAATAACACAAAAGAATCAGACAAATGCAGTAGTGATACATGAAGTATAAAAACTACAGATAAACTGAGTGCTGTAACAACATCCAGTCCTGATGGATCTGAACTTGGATTAATTTTTGACCAGACAGTTTGACCAGGTAGTACTTTATTACTTGAAAATACACATAAAAAGTGTATGCTTTATTTTCTACAAAAATATTTTCCAAAAAAATAAATTCTTATTGATAAAGAAAAAAGATGGTTTTGAAAGCTAGAATTTTTTTTCATTTTGTTTTTTGTTTTTGTTACTTAAGTGACAAAATCATTTAGGTTGGAAAAGAGCTCTTAGGATCATTAAGTCCAACTATTAATTCTCTTTTTTTCCACACTTATTCAATACGTAGTTTGGGGATGTACGAAGTTTGAAAGTAAAGTAATTTTCATAATTTCAATTTGAAGCAGGGAGGGGGAAAAAACTGAAGATTTCAAATTATGTAAATTCCTTTTATTGCTTAAATAACATATCTAACATGCGTGGTGTGCTTTTCTAGTACTAGTATCTGCTTATTAGAATGATCTTACTAATGTTTAGTAATGTATGTATTACAGTATATAACGTTTAGTAATACTTAATGTATTTTCTCACCTACTACTACATTATCAGTATTAATAATAGGCTGTACCATCTAGCTATTTGCAGACTTCTCTTAGCTAACACACAAAATATTCAAGTTGCATCAAGTTGCTGAACTACCAGATACCATTAAGAAGTTTTATATTATCCATAGGGTCTGATAGGGCACAACTTGAACATCTTATGAAAGGAAAAGAAAAAAGAAGACAGCCTGCACCTCAAAACAGGTTTGCAATATTCCTCTCTTTTAGCAAGAGTGACACACCAATGCACCCTCATCCAAAACTTACAAATGTGGTTTTATTAAACTAAAGCCCAGTGTTGCTGGACACAAAAAACTCAATATACCCACACTATAGCATGAAAGTTTTCAGTTGTGTTCTATGTGAGTCCTTACATTAATATAAAAACATTAATATAAAAAAAATCCCCAAAGTAAGAAATTGTTAACTTTGAATATGTCTCTGCTTCCAGCAAGTCTTTCACATGCAAGAATGTGTATAAAAAGAAACCCCAAGAGAACAGTAACTATAGATCAGTCTTCTAAATAATACAGTGCAAGAGAGAAGCCCATATCAGCTGTGATTAGTGGTCAGTTTATGTCACTCATACCTTCTTAAATGACATGTTAGATGACTGAAAACCCAAGTCCATATGCCAGTACTAATACTGATTCATTTGCATTGCTGAAAAAAAACCAAGCACAACTGTAAAACATCTATTCCATCAATCCTTTCAGAAGTTACTGAGATCCATTTTGAAAAACCAAAGCCATGACAAGCACTGTATGTCTAGAGCAGCTCCGGGTTGGTCTCATTCGTCCACCTCACTACTTTCTGCACATACGCCAATTTCAGGTGGGGTTTTTTTTCACCATCTTCCCCCCATATACCTTCAAGCAATTGGTTTTATTTTAAAATTTCAGCTGTGCTATTACCCTGTAAAGACACGAATTGGAAAGACTGCTTTCAAGAAAGTAAGTTAAGGTGTCCATGCAGACATTACTTCTTCATGTTAAGCCAGCCAATCTACAAATAGCAGAGCCAGAGAGAATTACTTCAGGGCTAAGCAGTACCCTTCCGGACCAATTTGGACCTGCCCAGCAGCACAGTGCATCTCAAAACACTGCTGTGCTCTGCTGCCGTCCCAGCACAGCAGGCCAGCTAGCAGCAGCAGCAGAGAAACAAACGTAGCTATGTTCATACAACTACAGACTGGCTTCCATTACTTCCTTCCCTTTCCAGCTGGTTATTTTCTCTCTTCCATTTGGCTTTATAGCAAGAAAAGACCCTGTCTTTCAGGTGAGGGGGAAAGACCTCTTCTGACCATCCCTGCCTTAAGTTACACACTCGAGAAGAGGGAGAAGAAACGACCCTGACACGGCAGTGTGTACCTTCCCCCGACGGAGCAGCTGCCGACAGCCGAGGAGCGCTGCCCCGCTGCCGGGCTCCGGGTAGCCGGGACAGCCGTGCCGGCCTGGCCCTCCGCCCGAGTGCCAGCTGGATCTTCGCCAGCAGCACCAGCGTCCGCACCCGAGGAAAGCCTCTGGCACAGACACGTGCTCCAAGGGCTGAAGTGACCCGGCCTGACCAAGGCTGCCGCTGCCGAGTCCCAAGGTACCGCACACCGCGAGAGACGCGGCCCGGCGCCCCCCGGCCCCGCTTCGAGGTCACCACCTGGGGAAGGCGAGGGAAGAGGGTGGGAGCCTCTCTCACCGCACCGGGGCTGCGCGCAGTGCCGACAGCCTGTGAGCCACAGCACCTCTTCCCGCCGAGCCGTCAGCAAGAAGCGCTCAGGGCGCTTAGGGACCAGCTGCTTCCCGGCGGAGCGGGATGCGAAGCCGGCCCTGGGCGGCGACGCGCGGGAGGAAAAGTCGAGGGGCTTCGGTACCTACCCGAGTGTCACAGTCACGTCCGCGCACCCCTCTCTCCAGCTGCAGCACGCTCTGGCCGGGGCTGCAGTCCCTGGCGCGGAGCATCCTGGCGCTTCAACGCTGCGGGTACGGAGAAACCCCACCCTGATCCCGCGCCCGCCGCTCGCCCTCCCGTCTGTGTCGCTGCGCCCAGGGGAGGCAGCGGGGCACGCGAGGCGAGGAGGCGGTGACACCATGACACCCTTCCTCCCTCCGCCCGTGTCTCCCTTCTGAATGACCACGGCCCTTGGGGGCAGCCCTGTGTTGAGACCGCAACCTGAGATTCGTGGAAGCGATGCAAGGGAGAAGGTTCGCGAGCCCCGTGTGAGTCCAGCTTCCCCCTTCCTGGCGTTTTCACCTTCGCTTTATTTTCGAGGAGCATAAGGGTGCAACTGTGATGTCCAGCAGCGGGTGTCGCTGTTTTGCTATAAAAGTTTTTCCTGGATTGTGCGGTTTTTGTTTGTTAGGTAGTGCCAGACCTGCCCCGTCGTGGTAAAAGAGGAAAAAAAACCAAACCACCAAACGCCTGTTAATTAATTTAGTATGTACGCCTCTGTGTCAAAAATACACTATAAAAGTTAATTAACCAATATTTGAGAAGTGCTCTTGCGTTTAAGTACTGTGTGGCCTCAGCTCACTGTGTTTCCACACATTTTGTAAGAAGTATGTCAGTGATCTGTGGACTCAAATGGTTACTTGGGCTATCCTGTATGGAAAGGAAGCAGACTGACCCACCCTGAATGCATTCAAAGGATTGTGCGGTTGTACAAAGTGACGCTGTCCTGCTACATAGAGAATGGTTGATCAGAGAATTGTTCCTCTGAGCTTCTTTATTTACAAAATGTACAGATGTGGCACACATTGCTGAACCTCTGTTTGCACTAATGACTGAGAGGGTTCATCTATAATGATAACCTCTTGACTGTTCATGAGTGAATTTGATGCTACTCCTGTACGAAGGAGGAGCAAGGATGTCTGCATGTGCCATCAGCTGCATAGCGCACTGCACACAGTCAGTGCTTCAGCACTCAGCAGGATCCTTACACCCAAAGCCAATTCCACCACCTCTTAATTAACATCTAGTCCAAGTAACAGAGATTTCTGGGCTGTCAAATTCATTCTTGCAGTGAAAGGTTGAATACAGGTAATGCAACACTGCATTTGTTTAGCATAGAAGAAGGTATCTATAGGTAGCTCAAATACAGGGCAAATGCCAGCTAAGAGTTGTAGAAACCTAGTGGATAAGCAGGAAAGTGACATGTAGATAGATTTTACATCTCCTAGATGTGAGAACCTGATGACACACCAGTAATAAAATGGAGCAACAGGCAAGGTGCTGCTCACACTGCTCTGAAAAAGATGGTGGCAAGAGTAGTTTGGAGGGGTAAGATTTTTTCACATGTACAAGGAGACAGAAGAGTATATTTTTTTTTTTACCAGGATCTTTACTGGATGACTACCTCACCTCAGTAGAACTGTGACACTGACTGCCATGAGCATAAAACAAAAACAGTGTCCACAGAAGAGGCCAGCTTCAGACAATGGCTGTTGCTGCTTTTACTGCCTCAACTTCAACTTGCATCCTTGGTTCCAACTGCAGGCACCACCACAAAACCACTAAACAGCTATATGCCTGCGGGTCCCGTGTGCTAGTTTTTAGCTGCAAGAGTGAGTATATGGTAGCAAGCTTGCTTCCTTATATATATGTGGTTTTGAGGAAGGAAGGGGGGAACAGGGACGTGCGGGGAAGAGTTCTGGGATAATTTCTGTGTTGCAGCAATTTATCAAACATTCACTAAGCAAATATATTTTCTAAAGGCATAAATTAGTTTTAATTATCAAACCAAATAAGAGGACAATGTGTCTGAAAAAAACCATCTCTATTCCTAAAAATTTGAACACAGCTAGTATGAACTTGGAATACTGAAGACAGGGAATTTTGATTCTTCCTTTTAGTCTTTGGCACATGTTGAATTGTTAGGTGAATCAGCAAAAAAACCCCCAAAAAACCAAAAACCAAAACTCAAAAAAAACAAAGCCCAAGTGATGATCAATTTATATTCTGACTTTGTAATTTCCAATTATTTTCCTATCCAGATTTCCATCTGTCTCTTTAAACTATGGTGTTATTCAAGAATGCGAGGAAATAACTACAGGTGTTATTGCTCAAACAAGTCACACCATATACCCTCATGCAGTGAATTCCATCAAAATTTGACTGTAAACACTCTGCAAGATGTTGCTTACATGAAATTGCTATCTTGTTGTAAATGCTTTCTTGTGCGTGCACCATTTTGCTTTCAAAACTGATCTGTGGAAGTAATAGGAAAACAGTTTTTAATTCAGTTTTGCCTTTCATTGGTCATCAACAAAGTCAGCAGTAATCCGTAGTGTCAAGTTAATGCTACCAATGAGCTCCTTGCTAATACTATAAACACTAGATTTTCAGTCTCTCTTGTTAACTCAAATATTTTATACTTAAATCCAAATTTAAGTCTAGAGGTGCAAGAACATGTTCTATTAAACATTATTGTTTAGCTGCTGCTTTGACATTGAAGGCTAAAAGAGATCAACCAACACTTGTTCCACAAGCATACCTGTAGCTGCAGCTCTCTTCACAGAGAGCAGAAGGCACAATGTTCCCAGGTTTGTTCCTGGGGAAGGCAGTGACAAAGCTCAGAGAAAGAAGAGGAAACATTTCCTATCTCTATTTACTGCTCCTGTTGTTTGGCACATGTGGAATGTGTTATGGAGATTGTTTACCAAAGAGAGATTTCTTAATTGGACACTGGTGATGATTGTTTGCATTGATTGACTGATTAGGTCAGAGCTGTGTCATGACTGTGTGTAATGGGTCACAGGTTCTTCTTTAGTTTAGTATAGAGTAGTATAGTATAGTTTTAAGATAGTATAATATGATATAGAATAGCTTAATAAAGCAATTGTTCAGCCTTCTGAATCATGGAGTCAATCTACACTACTCCACATTCTGGGGTTCCCTGTGCTGCAGCACAGAATTGGTTTTGAATGTCACAGTCTTTCCCAGCTGGACTGTTGTCTCTACAGAGCCCCATTGCTTTTAAAATCGAGAGCAACAGCAGGTACAATCCTGCTTAGTGGGTTTAAAGGTATCAGATCTGGTGGTGTTAAATGAGACCATTTCTTTCCCCATCAGGCATCACAACAGGACTGTCTATAATGGATTACCTATTTGACCACTTTTTTATTTTTAACAACAAGTCCACCCCCAGTTTAAGGAACTTTAAATCAATTAAATTATCTTTAATAGGAAAAAGACAAAAAGCTTGATTGAGGTGGATTATTCAACATAGATATTGTTAGTTATTCTGGCAAGTTTGTCAGCAGAAACATCCAAAACCAAGGGGTTTTTGTCTATTTGTTGGTGTAGTAAAGCAGGGATTTGAATTTGCCATAGTAAGTGGATGGAGGTAAAGTGTACCTTTACCTAAAGGCAGAAGAATTATGCTTCCCAAAGACACACAAAACAGTACCACCGCAGGAAGGTAATGTGGTCATTTATGTGGTGATGATTAAGGCTGTCCCATTTTCTTGCGATTTTAATTATTGTAACTTTTGATTTTGTCTGTTTGACTTTCTTGGGTGAAACCTGGAGGAAGAAGGGAAGTCTAATTTTTTCTTGGGCATTGGAAATCATGGAAGACCAGGGAAATACATTAATGAAGTGATTGCTACTGTTTTGAGTGACAGTCACTGTGTTGCTCACATGGACCAGTAAATTCGATGCCTGTGTTGCAATGACACAATCTGTGATCCTCACTTCAACATGTTGCTATTGCAGTTTTTTCAGCTGTTTCTGACTTTATCTGCCAGGACACCACTTATTGTGGGGGAAAGGTAACATCCAGCTGCAGAGCATTGAGACAGCAGTTTTTTAATACCTCTTCCATCTAGAGCTCTGAAAATATGTCTGACTAACAAGTAGGTTACTAAATAAGTACTGACCAGCTACATCTGCCATGAACGCTGATCATAAAAGCAGCAGCAGATCTTGTGTACAGTGTGGCCATGGCAAATGTCCATACACAGAGTTACTCTTTGCTAGAACAGTTCTGCTTATAAAACATTTAGAATAAAATGTCAGCAGTAGCATATTTCACTAGCATAAGAAAGAGTTGTTTTGGTTTTTGAACAGGAAAGTCCAACATGTTAGGTTAGTTAATGTATTGGGGAAGTACATGTACAATGGGATTTAGCAAAATTTTGAATAAGACCAGCAGAGCCAAGTCAGAATAAAAACTCCCTACCATACTGTGCCAAAAATAGATCAAGGTTTCTTCTTCTTCTTCTTACTTGCCTTGGTCAGATGCTTTTGTGGAAAAATAACTGGCTTATATTTCATGTGGTTTTTGGCATAGACCTTGATACAGAATTAAACAACTGATGCACACTGGATTGCTGCAGGCTCTATGTGATTTTACATAATTAAAGTGAATGCTTTAGGTAAGTCAAATCAAATACATGTAAAATAACTCAATGTAAAATGTATCTTACTTATTTGGCAATAACACTGTGCGGAAAATTACCTCACAGAAATAATAGAAATAATTTATTACCTTCCTTACACTTCTTTTTTCTTACAATACCCAGTATTTTCAAATTTCTCCTACATTTTACCTGTACTTCATGCTTAGAGGTCTGGATCTGTGGATCTGTGTTACTGTGAATGAAACTTCCAAAATAAAATCAGTTCAATGAATATGAACAGCAACAGAGGTTGAATTTTGCAGGGTCTTCCTGGTAGCACTGTCAGTGGAAAAGAGCTGAGCAATGTAGCCTGTTGGATGTTTCAAGAGTTGGTCGGTCCCTCTAGGGACAATGTCCCTCTACACATTGTTTTGCCATGTATGTGTCAGAGAAAAACCTATTTAGTTTCAGCAAGGCACATGCTAGAAAATGAAGCCTCGTCTCAATTAGCAAACCAATTAGGAGTATTCTGAAAACATAGAATAGCACTCTTAGGGAGTGATTTGATTGTATTGAAATTGATTATTATGATGAAGATGACACGGCTGAGTGTTTATGGTAAGATGGGGGACAATCAGCAGGGCATATGTCATGGTGGGAGTCTGTTACAGACTACCAAACCAGGATGAACAGGCAGACAAGGCATTCTTCAAGTGGCTGCCAGAAGTCTCGTGGTTGCCCTTTTATATGTGTATGACTTCAGCTTGCCAAATGTCTGCTAGAAATAGAACACAGCAGAGATGAAGCAAACAGGGGCTTCTTGGACTGTGTGGAAGGTAACTTCTTGACACAGCTGGTAAAAGAGCCTACCAGAGAAGATGCCCTGCTAGATCTGGTTGTTTTTTTTTTTTTTTTTGTGTGTGTATGTGCTCATTTTGGCAGGGGTAGAGTTGACTTTCTTCATAATGGCTGGTATGGGGCTGTGTTTAGGGTTTGTGCTGAACACAGAGTTGGTAACACAGAGATGTTTTTGTTATTGCTGTGCAGGGCTTGCACAGAGCCAAGGCCTTTTCTGCTTTTGGTACTGCCACACTGGGGGAGGGGACTGGGGGTGCTCAGGACGTCAGGAGGAGACACAGCTGGGAGAGGTGACCCAAACTGACCAAAGGGATATTTCAGACCATGTGGTATCATGCTTAGAATGTAAGTGGTTCTGCTTGAATTGTGTGCATTGCTTTTGCTTTCCCTATTAGACTGTCTTTATCTCAGCCCACAAGTTTCCTGGCATTTATCCTTCTGATTCTCGCCCTGATCCCGCTGGTGTGGGAGTGAGCAAGTGGCTGCCTGGTGCTTGGCGGCTGGCTGGGCTTAAATCATGACATGGAGCAAAGAAGGACTAGTGGGTGATGTGGTGGCTGGTGGCTGTCTTGGGCAGAGAGAACATGAAATAGTAGAGTTTTCAAAACTGGATAGAGTAAGGAGAGGCACCAGCAGAACTTGCACCTTTGATTTCCATCTAGCAGACTTTGGCCTGTTTAGGACATTGATTGACAGAGTGGTTTTGAAGTCAGTCCTGAAGGATGAAGGAGTCCAGGAAGGCTGGATGTGCTTTTAAATATTCAGGATCAGGCTGTCCCCTTGTCTGGAAAGACAAGTCATCAGGAAAAAAGATGTGTTAAAGAGAACTTGGGGGTACAAAAGAGAATCTATCATCTCTGGAAGGAGGGTCAAATAGCTTGGGAGGACTGTAAGGATGTTGCAAGATCACATAGGGAGAAGATTGGAGGGGCCAAAGTCCCACTGGAACTTGATTTGGCCACAGCAGTTAAAGACAGCAAAAAAGGCTTGCATAAACACAGTGATAGCAAAAGGAGGGTCAGGGAGTGTCTTCATCATTTGTGGAATGCAGAGGGCCATGTAGTGAGTGACAGGGCATGAGGAAAAGGCAGAGGTATTTAATGCCTTCTTTGCCTTGTTCTTAATACCATTCCCACTTGTCCTTGGGATACACAGCTTGAGAAATTACCAGAGCTGGAAATTGGTGATGGGCAGATGAGTGAAGCCCCCATAATGCAGGAGGAAATGTTTAGTGACCTGCTGTGCCAATTAGACACTCACAAGTCTATGGGCACTGGTGAGATCCCCCCAGAGTAATGAGGGAACTGGTAAAGTAACTTGCTAAACCACTCTCAATCATCTACCAACAGTCCTGGTTACTGCAAAAGTTCCAGAAGAATGGAAATCAGCAAATATAAGAACATCTGCAAGAACTGTTGGGAGGATGATCCTGGGAACTAAAGGGCTCTAGTTACCTCAGTTCTGGGCAAGGCTATGGAAGACATGCATGAAGCCCATTACATGGCACATGCAGGGCAACTAGGGGATCAAGCCCAGCAAACATGGATTTACAAAAGGCAGGTTCTGCTTGACCTGATCTCCTTGTATGACAAAGCAACCTGCTTTGTAGACAAGCAGAAGACTGTGGGTGTTGTCCATCTAAACTTGAGTAAATGCATTTGATACCATCTCCCACAGGATCCTCCTAGAAAAACCACTTGTGGCTTAGATGAGTGGACTGTCATGGTCTGGCCAGGAAGTGAGTTTCTGGAAAAGTCGTGGTCAAACCAATCAGTGGCCAGATTTGAAAATGGCACCTGTGGGTGGCCACTGAGGATCTGGATACGCCTCTGAGAACACACAGGGGTTAAAAGCAGAGGTTTCCCAGAGAACTTCCTCTTTTGGAGTCCAGCGGTGAGTCGATCTGACCTCTCCCCTGCCCAGCTGCGTCTGGGTGGGGCAGGGGGAGGCCATGCGGCCTGTGGGGAGGGAGGCCGGAGACCCTGCAAGGTGCAGGGGTGGAGGAGACCTGGGATGTTTGGGCAGCTCCCCCCGGGAGAGAGTGATAGAGACTATTGGCAGCACAGCTGGCCAGAAGTGGGGGATGCGGCGAGAGAAGGTGCCCGGGAGCTGTGGGAGTCCTGGGCAGGCAGAGGCGAAGATTTTAACCCCTTTGTAGAATAATGGAAACCTTACAAATACTGAATCCTCCTGAATCAGAATGAGGAGAGAGAGATGAAGCTGACAAAATGGGCAAGTGTCAGGAAAGCTGGAAGAGGTGAGAAGAAACCTAGGTGGGAAGAGATGATGGAGTGGCCTTGAGCTGGACTCTTTCTTGTATAGACATGGACAGACCCGTGTTTTTCCTGTGACCCGGAGAC